GCTCATGCAAGAATATGGCATCCATGCTTCCAATGTTGCGGGGATCGAACGCCGACTGATAGACAGTGACTGTATTAGTCATATCCTCATTGGGAAAGAACGCCTCTGCAAGTGTGCTTCCGGCGGCTTTGCGATATTGAAGTGCAAACGTAGAGTCGTCGATGCTATCGACCCACTCAAAAGTGACGCCGAGATCCAGAGCATTCCACTGTTTAGCGGCGTCATTCAGCTTGTTCGCCGCGTATGCAGCTTGTCCGTCCGCTCCCCAGCCATTGTAGTAGACTGCCCACTTGAGTTTGGTCGGCTTCTTCCACCTTGGAACTTCATGCTTCCAACCTAGCATGATCTTATCCGGACCGGAATTTCCAGCAGCAGCCTGTGTCGCCTCCTGAGTTTTGCAGCTATAGCCATTGTTCCCGATCATAAGCTTCTCACTTAGCTCCGGGCATTTGACACCGCTCTTCAATGTGGCGTTCTTCCCCTTACCAAACACTTCTGTGGAAAGCTGTGCCATTACTGCGGTTGAAATAGCTGCAAGTGATGTTTGATCGTGCTTTGGAAGGGTACCGCACCAATCACCTCGGTCGGTCGCCAGGACTGCTGAAGAGCTGATCAAAGTTGAATTTCGAAGACGAAGTGGAATTTGGGTACGGGATGACTGCCAGAGAATCGCGCTTTTAAGTAGCGATGCTAAGGAAAAAGAAAGTTATGTCGATTTGCAGTGCTATTGTGCCTATGTCCGTAAGCTTCGCCGAGGTGCATAGATTAAGAGTTGAAAGGCGGCAAGTACGAGTCAGGGGACGACGAGGCTCAGGTCTCGCTCCATGGGCCCCTGTAACTCTCATCCCGTTCCCGATCGCTGACTCACGGCATCACAATTTGTGTTGCCGTTGCGAGATGCAGACTGCTGCGTTTGCTGGTCATAAACCTAGACCGTTTGCTCTGCAACTTTGCTTGGCTGCCTCATGCACCTCTTTCGGATACTGTAATCTCCTCATCTCTGCAGTACTCAAAACGCCAAGCCCGCTCACGATCAGTTCAGCTTGTCATTACACCGCTCTTCGTGCGAAGATCGTGATCGTTGCCCGTTGAAGTGAAGGCTTGTAAAATGTCGGTCTGCGAAACGTATGCACAGTTGTTGTGGATTGTGTTGGGGAGGATGAAACCGCGAAATCGAACCAAGACCGAAAAGTTCCGAAGTGTCAGCTATAACTAAAAAGCAGTCATATGGGCGGGGAAGATGCAGGAGAAGCGAGAACAGGATTGACAAAGGAAAGTATAGTGAAAGCGAACAAGGGAAAGAAGCTGTTCGCATCACCTGACGAGGATGCGATGCAGAGCGCAGGATACTTGTAATGCAATGCTCATGCCAGGAGCTGGGGAACAGCATACATACTTCCGAGGCCGCGTGCACAGCAGCATGATGCATGGAGAACAAGGAAAAAGAAAGCGTTGACAAGCGGTGGCAAGCGTTGATAAGTGGCCCCTGCAATGCAGCTTAGCTAAAAACTGCGGGGACGCAAATCCTTGGCTCGGCTAAAAGACTTCGGGTTTGAATATGGATGTCTCTACTTTCCGTATCATTGTGGTCCGCCACCCTTTGATCTAGCTGGCATAATGGAGCTTGAGGAGTGGTTCGAAATTGATTATTGCAAATCGACGACTGATTGGAACATTCCGGTTTCCAAGTAGAGTAGGTTGTTCAGCAGTTCAGATGTCGTTTCTCGCCGTCCCTTTTCAACAGGTCTGAGTACCTGCCATGCAGGGCATTGTCCCGCAGGGTCTGGTCTCCCGCATGCATGACTACACATCCGGAGAATACTCCATGTACTTCACCGCTGTTCGTCTCGCCCGCGCATGCACGAAGCAAAGTCGTTGGACTCATGCTGATCAGCATGTCGATCGTACTTGTCTCGTGCATGCCATTGCATACCAGCATATCGTCAGCTGTAGCGTTCACGCCTCATCAGAATTTGAGAGCACGGAGCGGGATGGAGCAACATTTCGATGAGCGTCTCAGTTGTGTGCCTGCTGATAAGACTGTACAAGGGGCACTGGTATTCTGCTGCATTTTCGTCCACTGCTTCCTTCAGAATCTGACAAAGACTTTACCATTTCGTTTTCATATCATGGCGACTGTTCAGTCATTCACCGCAGCTCCTGAGAAGCTCACTCAACCACCCGATGAGCCGACTGGGAAGACCGAAAACCCCACAGAAGGGCTCGAGAGACCGACGGAGGGTTCTGAGACAGGGACACCAGAGCCCGAGGTCCCTGAGAATCCCAAGGCACTCGATTCCGTGTATATCATTGATGTTGTACCTAGAGGAAATTCTCTCACTGGCTACCAGGAGGTCAAAGCATCGGTGCAATGGTATCAGAGATGGCTGCTTGAAAAGGCAGAGATCTATGTTCAAGACAAGATCAATTCGAAGCAAATCGACAGCAAGGACAGCCTCGGACAGGAGAACTTTCGAGCCAAGGTTCTAACCTTCTTTCTGGAGAACAAGTCCACCTGGCTGGCAAAGACTGCGGACATGAACTCTTCGCACGAGATCAAATGCGAAAAGTCAACCTTCCACCAAGAGCTCATCAAATATGCTCTGGGCGGCACTTTGGTACCTCAAGGAGCGCAAGCCGACATGGAAAAGATCCTACAGTCTCTCTCTGAAAGTGTCCAGGCTCGTGGAACTCACAGTGAAGTACGTGATGCGAACTTCTTCACCATGATCAACGTGTACACGTACGATCCTGCCCTCCGTCGTACTCGAGCTGAGATCTGTACAATCGGATTTTCCACCACAACAGCGATGAGAGAGTACTTGAGCAACAAAAGTCATGTGAGGAAGATTGAGTTCAAGCTCAATCTCAACAGATCTCAGTATCATTTCAATGAAGAGATTTTCCGAGGCGTATTTGGACAGTCTCAAGCAGCTGGATTTCAGGTCGGCCCACCAGGATCGCAGCATTTTGAAGTCTCCGAATAGGAATAGGAAGATACAGTCTCTCCCATGTAGTTACAGACGTTCGAATGAAAGTCGTTCTTCATGAGCCCATGTTGTCAGAGCTTGTCGAGCCAATGTGCCTGGACAGTCTTCATACCGACCGAGTGGCGATCCATCCTGAGATTTCAGAGCTGTGTCGACAGTCTGTCAATGTTGCGATGATAGAAGCGAAACGTGCTCTCCATCGATGGAGATTTTCACGATCAGGCTTCTCACCGCAGCTTCGCCCATTACACCGAGCTTTTGCGTGAATGCCGGTAGCCCGGATCATGGTGAGCTTAAATGTGAGGCGGTGAATCTGCATTTGCGCTGTGCAGAAGTTCCCCTAACCACTCTGAGCTCTTCGCAGCTATGAGGCCGTTGGCTTGCGTGTCGCTGCTGAGCGTTGGCATTGCATCTATAACTCCCGTACATGGTTCCGAAAAGATGTACCCCTCTGCTGCACAGCTGCATGATCAGACCGATACTTTCGAGGCGGACAATTGTAGCTTTCCGAGTGTCGACTGCAGTGTCGTTGCGAGGATTCTTGACACCGCGTATGCAACTTGGTCGCAGGGGCGTGTCTGATGCAGGTGGCCACCTACTAACGGGTCCAAAGACATCTTTCATCGATTCACCGATGTCACTCAACTTCTTGTTCTCCTCAGACGTGCAGGATCGTTCCCGCAGAGAGCTCCGATCATGAAATGGTTGGGGCAACAGGTAGATGGCCAACCATACTCAAGGAGGCGATAAGCGAGCTGTCCAGGAACCAGACAATTATAACATGGATTGTCTCCCATGCTTCTCGAGTGATTCCTCATCCGCTAGTCACTCAGCTGCTTAACAAACATTCTTTCTTAACTACATTGTTTTAGAGGTTTCCTCGTAACGACAAAACTTCACTCGACATGGCGACAGCATTCACTGTGTTTCCCGAGGTACTGGATTCCAAAGCTGTGATCATCCCAGAGGCCGGGTTCGAAGATCCAAATACCCCTCATCCAGACGATCAAGATGCAGTCCGGACTGTCTACTTCGTCAACATGGCGCCAGGGACTCTCAGTGGTGAACAAGAAAAGACACTTCAGCATCTCCAGCAAAATGTCCTTGACTTCAGTGCCTGGGCCTCGACCGAAGCATCCAGAGCTGTGCAGAACAAGATCGACAAGAACGAAATTCCTCGAGATGATAAGGTTACTCAGGGCTCCTATCGAGCTAAAGTAATGGATTGGATCCTGAACAACAGGACGACTTGGCTCGCGAAGACCAACGACTCGAACAGTTCGGAGCGTATCCGTGTCAAAAAAGCCGAGTTCCATACGGCTCTGCTCCTACAAGCCATCAAAGGCTTCGCCGTGCCGACAACCGCTTTGCTGAGCTTGGAGAAGATTGTGACTTCGATCGGAGACTCTGTCAAGTTCTCTGCCACGAATTCTAAGGACGCTAGGCAATACTGGATCATGTTGACCTACTACACCTACTTCAAGGAGTCCAATCTCATTCAGCCATCTATTCGCACCATCGGCTTCCAAGTCACTAAGGAAGCCCGTGAGTACGTAGTCGGCAAGAGCAAGGTCGAAACTGTAGACTTCCAGTGTTCGTTCTCGGGGTCGCAGTTTGATTTCAACAACAAAATTTATGAAGGAGTGGCAGGTAGTATTAGTGCCCAGGCGATCGAGAAGGGCAAGGAAATGCTCAACGACAAGAGTGTTGTCGATATTCCCATCTAAATGAGTGATGGCATGAATCAGATATTTGATAGTCTTTCGTTTGATTAAAGTTTCCTACCGGGAGAACTTCAATGCCTTGACCTGTTATCGGTGGCTGACAGCGAGCGTGGTGTCGGTGCAAGCAACATACGCCAGCACTCGTGCAGAAGAGAGGTTTGCCCCTTGCAGAATCCCACCAACCACTTCCCCCTTAAGTGCAAAACTTGCTTCGTGCTCCTCTTCTCGCGTTCCCATCTTTTCTCTGATCAAAAGAGAAAAAATCAAAGACCGCGTCCTCGAAATATGCCGCAACGGCGAGTCGAACGCCGGGCTATTGCTCGCTAAGCAACCCATTGTGGGAGGCCTGGAAGGCAATAATGTTACCGCTACACCATTACGGCGGCTTAAGGTTTTTCCGGAATCTGCTTCAACATATATACCTCAAAAATAATGCCCTTGCAGAGCACAAAAGATATTGAATGTTGCTGATAGATTGGATCTCTCGGTTCCAGCGGACCATGTATTCGTAGTCTCGTGCTGTCCAGGGACATCGGCCTGCTGGCCCATTTTTCTCACGCCCATTGTTCGGCACCATTTCGGCAACCATACTCCGACACGTCCATCGCGTCCCCAACGCGCTCTCCGCCATACTGACAACAGCCTCTTGATCCAGTCAAAGCCATTTCACTCTCTGAGCGTCTACTATCGCCATGCTCCCATTCCGCTATGAAGCGCAAAAGGCCGAAGCATGCCTTGGTGAAAGAGCGCAAGAGAGCAAAAAATGGTGGTGTCCATGACTCGCCAGTTCTTCCCGACCAAGCTATATTGCACCACTACTATCCATCTGTTCAGTCCCTACGGTCGTTTTTGACCGTCAAAGTCTCCAAGAAACGACGAAAATCTCTTCAAGATTACGGTAGAACTCAAAATGCTCCTGATGCAGAAGCTTTGTCGCACAAGGGTCTTGCCAATTTGCTCGATTCTGTCCTGGTGTGTAGATCGCACCACAAACAACTAGAGGATGGCAATGTCAGCGTGATTGATGATGTCGACCTGTCCACCTTGTCTGCTGCCAGCTCATCACAACAGCCGGTACATGATGTAGGTGACATTGAAGACCACCGTATGTGATTTGTCCTTTAACAGCTTCATTATCTGCAGATTGTCGACTTTTGTATTGCACTGCTCTTCAAGAGGCACGCCAACATTCAGCGTCCTCCTCACATATTGTGTCATGGCTTCTCTCGACTCTCGGTTGGTGGTAATCGCGGGCTGCAGTTGAGTGCGGGATGCCGCATACCGGGTCTAGCTATTCATGAACCCAACACTTACGTAGAGCGGCTCAGCACTGAGCCATGGAGCTTTTTACCGGAGCTGCTCGGGCGTCGAAGTGACGAGATACTTGCGGATCTCTTTCTGAATCATGGCTTATTCGGCCTACTGCAGCCAGAATGCAAGAACTGGATTCAATTGTGTGGTAAGTCTGAAATTGTATTCAAATCGGCGCAACACTGATCCACAAAGGCGTTCCCTTGTCTGAGCTTCCGACTATCTCATCGGAGCGTTCAGATACAGCCCAGTCTTCTGGCAAGAGCACTCCCTCTCGGGAGCAATCACAACCCCGAAAACCAAATTCAATACGATTTGTACGGCAGCGAATACTATACGGGAGTCCCTTGATGACTGCCTGCGGAAAGGTATCTTTCGGTCATAGGCCTGTCCGTAAGTGTCTTTCGTCCACGAATGACAAAACCCTGCGTTGTCTAACACCATTAGATGTACTCAATCGATGCCAAGCGATCAATGATGACCACGAAATAGTTCACATCATGAAGCATCTTTTCCCTATGCAATTCGGTTTACACAACGTCTTCACATCCAGGACATCCAAGGACGAAAGTGCACAGCCTTTTCTGGACTATACTTTGCGTGAGGATGAGATCAAGAGGAAGGATCAAGCTGCAGCGGCTCGAAGGCAATCCCCTCACATCCGGGCTGGACTCGGGCTTCCAAAACGATTACGAGGAGCCGCTTTTGAACTGGTCAAGAGAACTCGCAAACGTCATAGGCGGTGCGCTTACTCCGCCCTGGTCAATCATTACTGTCCTATAATCGATAGCTCAGCCGCGGCTACGAATGACACCACTAGTGAATCGACTTTCGCTCTTGCCACATCACCTGCACGAGTTTCAGCCTTTTGTCGAGCTGTGATCCGTTCTGTTTTTCCTACACAGTGGTGGGGCAGTCATACGAGTCCAGAGGGCAGATGTAACATAGAATTGATTCTAGGTGCAGTGGATCACTTCATTCATCTAGGTCGATATGAAAGCATGTCACTTCACAATGTTCTGGAAGGCATTTCGATCACGGCTATTCATTGGCTGACACCTCCAAAACTGGGTGGACTACACAAATCTTCAGCGTCCGACACAGCGAAAAGGAAGGAATTGTTGAACGAGCTTCTCTATTATGTCTTCGACTCGTTCCTCATCCCTCTGATTAGCGCCAACTTCTACGTCACCGAGTCATCCGTTCAGCGCAACCAGCTTCTATTTTTCCGGCACGACGTCTGGCTCGGTCTGTCGACTCCAACCATATCGAATCTGCGTGCGAACATGTTCGAGGAGATCAAACCTTCCGCATCAAAGCGAATGCAACTCAGACGTCAATTGGGTGTCAGCCGTATTCGACTCTTGCCAAAGGAACGAGGACTCCGGCCAATCATCAATCTGAGACGACGGGTGATGACAAAGGTTGGCGGAAATATGGTTCTCGGCAGCAGCATCAACACTAGCATGCGGCCTGCCTTCAGTGTATTGAACTTCTTGAAGAGCACCCGTCCAGAACTGCTTGGTTGCTCGATCTTCTCGTCTGATGAGATCTTCCCTCGGCTTCAGCAATTTCGACAGCATTTGACCAGCACCGGAAAATTGGGACAGCCGCTCTACTTTGCGAAGCTCGATGTTCAAGCTTGCTTCGATACAATTCCACAGAAACAGTTGATGCGGCTTCTCGATCAGGTTGTGACAAGCGGAGAATACAGTATCGGGCGATATGCTGAGGGGAAGCTGCTAAAGACGACGTCGCGTGCGGTCGCCCCCAAGGTGTCTTGGAAGTATCGCAGTGACGCACAACCCGCAGGTGTTGATGCATCCTTGTCGCAAATGCTGAAAGACAATTATGCAGAGCATAAAGGACGAGTCTTGGTGGACAAGGTTGCCAGAAAGTACGAAACGAGGTCGCGGATCGTGGACATCTTGGGTGAACATATAGAACGCAACATGGTTCAGATCGGCAAGCGCATGTACAGGCAAAAGGTTGGTATACCTCAAGGATCGGTGGTTTCGTCGTTGCTGTGCAGCCTTTTTTACGGCCAGCTGGATCGATCTGAGCTGGGCTTCCTCCTGGATGAGGACTGTCTTCTCACCAGGTTGATCGACGACTTTCTGCTTATCACACCACACGTTGACCTTGCGAAACGCTTTATACAAGTGATGCATGCCGGACTAGCGGACTTCGGAGTCACGGTTAAGCTGGAAAAGAGCAGAACAAATTTCCCCACATCGGCCGTGGGGCAGAGGATTGAGCATCTGGCACAAGACTCAGATTTTCCTTACTGTGGCCTGACCATCAACACGACCAACCTGAATGTGTCGGTGGACGTCAGTAGACGCAAGACACAAAGCGTTCGATCATCTATCACGGTAGAACATTCGAAGACCCCAGGCCAGAGTTTCTATCGAAAGGCCATGGAGTGAGTTGAAGCCGGATGGGGATGATAAGAACTTTGGCTGACCTGTATTTTCTAGCATGGTCAAACTGCACATGCATGCAATGTTGCTCTCAACCAACTACAACTCCGAGCATACCGTAACCAAGAACCTTTACGAAGCATTCACAGATATTGCTTGGCGATGCGTGCATTATATTAGTGGCCTTCCAGGAAACAGACAGCCGGGGCCGAAGCTAATGATCAGTAGGGATAAGGAACTCCGCTCACGAAAGCCAACGCTGACTTTTGTACAGAAACGATCGAAGATGTCATCGAATTTGCATTTGGTATGATGAAAAAGCGACGTCGCAACAAGGGCGAGATCATGGATTACGAGTGTGCCATGAGCAGGGCACAGACGCATGGAATCGCTTGCGAGGCGATGCTGGTAGTGTTCCAGCGGCGGCAGACGAAGATGAGATTAGTGGTAGAATGGCTGCGTGCTCGGCTTTCACAGTCAGACCTAAAGCAAAGGAGTCGGCATCGGGTGGCTGAGGCTGCAGAATTGGATGTCAAGTGAAAGCACTGTCAATGACAAAAAAACAATGCCTTCCATCTCCACAACCGATCGTTGACCGCTTGCCTTCATATCTGCCACAGAGCCGCATCCCTCCCACATCCAGCTAGCGGCGGCTCGTCCCACACCTTTAACCTCCGATCTCCGACCTTCAATGACCCTTGAGCAACTCTCACTTTCCTCTGAGCGCCTTCCCTCTATTATTTCCACCACCTCTCGCCGTAAAGGAAGGCACCCCCGCCGCGCCTGCATTTATTCTTCTTGGATACCGCCTTCCCGTTCCCTCGCGCCCACACGCGCGAAAAACTCCGTGAGCCATGAACGCGCCCGACCGGTACGTCTCTCCCCTTCCCCCTTCACATGTCTGCGGCGCATACGATACACCATGTCCACGGACCACGCCGTCACATCCCGCACGCCGCGCGAAGGCGACGGGAACATCCATCACGCCCACCGCCCGCCCGCCTGTGGTCGCCGCACAGATTGTTCCTACGATGTCATCGGCGCTGACACCCCGGATAGACACGAGTTGTTCCTGTTGGCCGAGGGGGAGAAGAAGGTGACCTTTGCTACTGAGACGAGTACGTACGTCCCTCTACTTTTTGCTTATGTCTTCCCGGTCCTACTTATGCCTATGCTCATCGGACCCGCACCGACTGTTTTCCTTCTCCAACAAAGCAGGCAGGCCACATTAGGTTACTGACCACAGTACAGGGGTACCGAACGCATCCCTCTTCACATTCCGCAAGGAGGACCACACGCTGGCTAATCTCCTCCGCGCCCGCCTGTTGAAGTCTCCAGCAATCGTCTTCGCGGCGTATAAAGTCCCGCACCCGCTGTTCGCGAACTTCGAGCTGCGCGTGCAGACGGATGGGAGTATAACACCCAAGGACGCGGTGGTGCAGGCGTGCGCGGATATCGTCCAGGATCTGCAGAAGTTGGATCAGGAGTTTACCAAGGAGTATGAGCTGAAGAAGATTGCCCTGGGCGCGGGGGAGGTGCTTTGAGAAAAAGGTGGTGGGGTGGGCAAATCAAGGGAGGGGGAATGGGAAGGACAAAAGAGGATGGTGTACGATGTGGAGAATGGGATAAAAACTATGCATACGAGATAC